GAATTGCTAATTCTGGACTAAACTTTTGTTATCCATACAAGTATCAGGTACAGGAATTTCCATTAGGGCCTGGGCTTTTACAACAGACTTATTCCCTATGATAAGTTTGTCACGGGGTATGCCTCTCTGCCTGCCCGCTTGTAGGAGCAAGAGAAAGAAAGGTGGGGTACTCGTGTGAGACGGCAGCAGTACTGCAGGTCCCTACAGAGACTGGATGCTGGGTCAGTGAGTTCTTGTGACGTTTATGTGGTTAACACAATTATTTGGTCTGTGCAGGGGTAAGCAACAGGGATTTATCAAAGAAACCCACAATAAAAGAGCTCAAAACAAAAGGTTTCCAAAAGATCCACAAAAAAAAAGAGCTAAGTTAACATTTACTATAATTTATAGCAATCAAAATTAATGCATCAATAGTTTCACATCCAGACTACGTAAGGCATTTTGAAGATTTTGCTAAGATAGGTCACAAGCAAATTAAGCCTAACTTACTTATATATAAATATATACACACACACGCACCATAGCAGAATACTTCATGCAATCATATAGGTGCTATATGAGCACATAGCTGTGGAACACGTTGGAGGTTGCAGCAAACGCAGCTAGCCCAAGTTCAAGTCAGAATTGTGCCCATGCCTCTCTGTTGTGTACATAGTGAAGTTAGTTACATACTTAAGAAGCACTGCTGCTACTACTGTCTTCTGCAGCTCCTCCTAAAACTGTTTCAGAGGCCTCGAGGAAAGGCACAGCCCCAGCTGCAGCAGATCTGGACTGAGATGCCCAGCCATGATAGGCAGCTTCCTGCCGCTGAAAGAGGTGCAAGATTTTTGACATCCGGCTAGTCAGCATGGGTAAGTCACAAGCAACGATGGCTCGTGGTTCACATCTGCTGGCAGCGAATCCCAAGAGGCACATATGCTACCCAGCGACACACTCGTGTTGCAATTGCAGATGAGCTGGTCTGTCTCAGATTGTTCTTTCACCTGCTGCTTCCTCTACACTAGTTCTGGCGACTATCTGATGAAGTTTCATTAACCACCAGAAATTATACCAGTCAAAAATAAAGCGAAAGGTTTCTTTCAATTCAGTGAGCTGAATTAGCTCTGCCCAGAGGGGTGGTGGAGTCACCATCCCTGGAGGTGTTAAAAAACCAGGTAGACGTGGCACTTGGGACATGGTTTAGTAGGCATGGTGGTGTTGGGTTGATGGTTGGACTGATGATCTTATAGGTCCTTTCCAACCTTAATGATTCCTAGTTTTACTCATTAAAGAATAATCCAGCCCCTAAGCCAGGAAACATGAAATTATTGCTCTACCCTTGATTGGTTTAGTGGTGGACCGGGCAGTGTTAGGTTAATGGTTGGACTGGATGATCTTAAAGGTCTTTTCCAACCTGAATGATTCTATGATTCTCTAAATGATGCCCTGAACTATCTAATACTGCCAGGCACATCAAGATAAGCGAGGTCCTGCATTCCACAGGCAGCCTTTTCCTAGACTGTTGCTGCATTTGCACATTTTTCCTTCTGCCTGGACAGCAAACACCACCTTAAGGTAGCTGCAGGTTGTTAGGGCACACATCATGCCACGCCTGTCTACAACAAATATTAAACAAGGATTGTGAGAATGCAGTGCAAGGTTGTGAAGCATTTGAATATAGTATTGATAAAAACTGATTAAAAAAGTGCAGTGATATATTGATAAAAAGTGTTCCTTGTTAATCTATTAAATCTGGCCTATATAGAAATGTTAATCTGCCAGAGGAAAACAGTGTGTTTTCTTTGATTACCCAAAGGCTTCTTTCTTTTTAACAAAAAGACCAGGGTAAAAATACTCAAGCGCATTACAAGACCTGGAATTTGTTTTGGTCTCTAGCAATCCTTCTAGACTTTTCAGGTTTGAATCAGGAACAAGTTTTTAAGACTTAGCTATAGCTCTAGTTGTAGATGATCAGGGCTTCACTCCTTGTCTACACTAGCAACTTTCCCTCAGCAGAACTACTGCTACAATCCAACAAAACTTTACCAGTCGTTACCACAAAGACTGCCTCCAAGTGAAGTACGCTATACATAAATAGCTCCATTGACACAGGTCTGCTTGTGGGTGGCCACAGAAGCATCTTAAAGCAACTTACTTACGGCCTGATGAAATTGCTGCCTTGCTCTTTACTCATTAATTGACACCAGGCCAGAGTTACATTAGAAGGGAGATGTGTAGCGTAAGTAGGTCACTCCTTCCACCTCCCCATGGGTCAATGGAATATGTGGTGCTGAACATAGGAAATATCCTAGTATCAGCTATTCTGTGTTCTCTCGGCTAACCTCATTTGACAGAAAATAGCCAGTCTCAGATTTGAGACCTGAGAGGGTCAGGTATAGGGTGCAACTGTGCTGGGGCAAAGGAGATCTGAGGCTCTTCGACTTCCGAGTCACCCCCGCAAGCCAACTCGATCTGGATCCTCCACAAATCCTTGATGCAGCCAGTTATTTTGGTGCCAATGGACTGATAAGAGAAGCTGCCTCCTGTGATGTCACATTTGCTGGAAGAGGAAAGAAGGTTAGGGATGGGAGCAGAACAAGAGTGACTATAACTGACTGTCAAAGTGGATTAAATTATTTTTGAGATGACAAATTGGTCAAATTGCAGAGCAAAAAAAAGCAAGAACATAATTAAGAAAACAAGAATGAAAAAGACACTATGAAAGAAAGAGTAGAGCAAGACCAGCTGATAGATGTTTAAACACTGAAATGTGAAGCGCTGATTCTATGACATGTGAACACTGTTAGTGTTTATATATTATAGCACATTTCCTCTCAGACAACTTAACAGGCATGTTAAGTTTGATGCCTTTTCTAATTCAAGTTACTGAAAAGACACCAAATCTTTTTCAGAACAGTTTAAAAAAAAACCAAACAAACAAAACACACTTTTCCTTGACATCTGTTCTTCTCCATTATTTTTGTTACCCTTCCCATATCGCCCTACTCGCTCTCTGCAATGGCCTAGGAGATTGCCAAGTATTTATTATCCCCAAACAGTTCACAACTGCAATGACAACCCTGAAGAAAACTCAGCAGCTTATGCTTCCAGCAGTTTTAAGAGAAAAACAAACCGCATCCTGCGTGACAGAAGACTCAATTCTTATAGTTTCAGAATTCTCAAGAGAGTTCCTACAATTCTTAGTCTGGAAATCAAAACTATTCATCTATTTTCTCAAGGAATAAACTGCTGAAAAGATAGCCCAGGTATTTTTGCTCAAGTCTGATTTGAAGTGTCAAGCTAAACAGATACCAGAGGACTGTATGAGCAGTCTTATCTATAGCACTGCAGCCTTCTTTTGAAGGCCTGAATTAAATCTCCAGCAATCTAAGTGTCATCACTATAAAAGACAGAAGACCACCACAGCACTTCATGTCTTCAACCTTATGTGGGCTGATGAAGTGCTTCTAGCATACTGCTGGGCCAAAACAATCCCACTGGGGTCAACTACCTCTCCCTGCTTGAGATGTCTTTGTGCAAGTTGTTCCACAGCAAATGGCACATGGTGGATATGTGAAGACAAAAACATCTTGCCATATTTCTCAGGGTAGTGTGTTACTATATAGAGATACACATGTCTCAATGTGCTAAACAGTGCTTTTTTTTTTTTTTCCTTAACTATTACAGAGCTCACTTTAACCCAGCAAATATTGCAAGTGAATGGGAAAAAAACCCAATGGATGTGATGGACTAAAGTTTGACATCCATAAATACACAAAAATTCCAAACCAAAGGCAGGTGTGTACAAAATAATTTATTACAGCATAACATATGTTGGCAATATTTTACAGTGAGTTTTCCATTCAACAATTTTGAATCTAAACAGATGACACACAAAGGAGAATTTTAATTAGAACAGTTTATTTGTCTTAATAAAATCCCCTCTTCATGAACTTATATTTGCCTTTGAGGGGCTAGTTAATATTACTGAAATTATTTACATTGCAGTGAAATAAAAACAAACCAAGATTGAATGATTCCATTACAGTTTCCAGAAAATGGATTTTCTGTACAAGCCACAGTATAGTTATGTTTTGATAGCAGTTCTTATAAAATGTAAAGCTGTCATACGTAGCCATTTTGTCCAGCAAGACTATGCTTTAAATAGGTATATTAGATTCAGACTTCCATTTTGATGTGTTGTATATTAAATAGTTAATGCACCAGAATACAAAGTAAGAAAAAGGTTCGTTATGATTTGTAGTCAGCCTCTTTGTGCTCCCTTGAATAGTTTTTAAATGTAAAACATACCCCTCGCATACTACTTGCTTTGCAGCACCTAAAGCAATAGTATTTGGGCATGAGAAGTTCTGGAGTATTGGCCATAAGTGGACAACTAAGACTTTTAATGGAGGTAATACAGTAAACTTACCAGTGAATTTTTATGATGTAGAGAAGAGCTGTATTCCCCATTACTGTACCTTCTGCATTGGCCCAAAATTGGAGCAGCTTTTTCAACTTAAGTGTCAATAGGTGAACAGATGGAAAGAAACCAGGAATAAGAGGAAGATGGAACAAAGGACAAACAACAGCATCAAATTCATTGTTTTCATAGGGAATTGCTTCAGGATACTGAAACTTAAAAATGTGAAACTGACCATAAACTTAAGGAAACAATAACTATGGAACACAAGGTAGAATAGTTTTCAAAAATCCTTAGATTTTTGTTTGGTTGGTTTTTTTGTTTTGTTTTTTTTACACAAACCTAATCTTCATATCCATCAACACTGGTTCCATGTAAGACACACACCTGACAAAAACATGCAAACCCCCAATGCTTTCATTGTCACTGTGCTTCAAAAGAAACCAAACTGACCAAAATTAAAAAAAAACCAAAACCAAACAAAACCAAAAACCACCACCCCCCCCAAAACAACAAAAAACCCCACCCAACCAAACCAGAAAAAAACCCTAAAGAACCATAAAAGACAAAGAGGGCAATTCAAGCAGCACTTCAGTCTTAATCTGCTAAAAACACTCAAATGGTAATTTATTAACAAGATATGATCACATTTATCTGTATACGTAACAACACTTATGTGAAAGCAGTCTTTAACATCCATATTTTTTGTGAGGGCGGGCTGATGGATTATTAAAAGACTTAAAACTGTACAAGTATAAACATGAAAAATGCTGATTAAGGATAATGTTTACATAAATATTGGCAGCTTTTGTTGGGAGAAAAAACCTAATAGCATACTCCATTTCATTTAACTATCCAAATATTTTGTTTTATACCTGTTAAAGATATTAAAATACAACCTGGAAAAGTAACCCTGATCTGTATCCAGCCAGCACATAATGAGAGTCAGAGTTTTGTATACATGTGTGCATGTAGGTATACACACACACATGCTTGCACACACTACTTCAAATTTCATTAGACAGCAAATCATGGTTAATGGCTGTGTGGTTCACAGATGCAATGCTGCTATCGTCCTCGTTTGTGGCAGGCATAAAGGCAGACGTAAAAGGAAACAGTTTATGACATGCTGCTTGATATTCTTCACATTGAGTGTGGCAGCTTCCAAAACTGCCGTCAAGCAGTGCCTCAAAAACCTTTGTTAACGTCTAAAGAAACAAAAGTAACAGTTAATAAATGTTATTTACAATTGTTTTATTATTAAAAAGATGCATGGTTAAACAGTACTAATCTGAGCAAACACAGGTTCTCTGTTGATATTCAGGTATCTTACAGTTACTTAAGGGAAAAAATTTGAAACCTTGTTCTTTCAAATAGTATTAATTCATCATGATACACAAAGCATGTACATTAATATCGTATACTTAACTGCAGCATAAAGCCAAAAAGTGTGTGGGATCTTAAAATACTGTATATTTTACCTTCACATTTTTGTCTCTCATGTTTTTATCCAATCTAGTAGCAACAGCAATTGCTTTTTCTTGTCTTGATTTGTCCAGGAAATACATCATCTTTGCACCTTATCACAAGAAAGAACACAACATTTAGATAATAGTGTTTCTAAATGCAATACCACATATACAGACACACAGAATCTGAAAGCTTACAATCAACGTGAATTAGGACTTTTTACAAGTTATAATAAACGATATTTCCCTCCCTTATTTATAACTTAAAACTAACGAAACTGAAGGTATTTTGAAATTTATTAGAAGCATAAGGACTGAGTAACACAGGAGATTTGCTCCTGCAAAAGTTAAATGCCTCACTTGACTGAAGACCTGTCAGTCAAGAAACACACATGAAGAGTACATTGATGGCTAAGCTCTTCAAATCAGCAGGCTAAATGAAATCCATCCTATAAATGTAGAAGTGAATAAAAGACATTTTCTCAGAGATACTCTGTATTCTTTTGAAAAGTACTGAAGGCAAGAGAACAATACAGTTACTAAACAATTGTGGAACACAGACCACAAGAAATTCAGACCAGTGTATGAAAATGTGTCCGTATGGCAGAAAGTAAGGACAAGCTGGGCTACTAACCTGGAGCTGAATAAAATAACTTAGGTACAAGGAAAGTGTAATGCAACTTTGGTGTTTTGCCTGGACTAGACTACATTGGTGAGAAGTAAGACACTGTGTTAACGTAACTAAGCACCTTCTTGGACCACAAACAGTTTATCAAAACTGGTCTGGCCATCTCTGCAAAATACTGTGTTGCTCCTCATATCACAGCTGCCTTAATTTAAAAATCTCATCTTAATGAACACATAGCATTTCATATACCTTCCTTTTCCCAAATACAAAGTCCAGACACACCTCACTACATAGTCTACTACAATGAACAAAAAGCTTAAGAAATCATTTTACTGAAGTTAAACCCCCCCACACATTCTGAGTGTATTGTCTCTTCTTGCTCAACTCATTTCCTCAATTATTAAATTTGTTTTCCTAATTAAAGTTTCCTAGTTATTACTGCTTTTTGTATCCAGAAGGTTTCAGAAAATAAATTGCTAGACTGAATATATTTGGGTTTGAGTCATCATTGTCAAAAAACTTATTAAACTTAACCTAGTTACATTTGCTTAAAGTCAGGGAGGCTGTGGTACAGAAATTGAAAAGAGATTAAAATTCAGCTTACAGTTTTTTTACTAGCAATCATTTTAAGCTAAGAAAACACTCATTTGTACTCTCAGACTTAAAGTTTAGGTCTTTCAGACCTTTACATTTTCAAACTTCGATTAAAGACGACAGTTTAAGAGTTTCTAAATTGTACAGTAGGTAAGTCAATCACTTCAAACCTTTTTCAGCATAAACAGAAGACTGACATGTAGGTGAAGACCTAAAGCTACCAAGGACATGTCTATGGTTAGTTCACTCCTGGTTTCACTTCAAAATCTTAATCACACATTTGTTCCTGCTGCCTGTTAATTGATACACTGTTGGATCACAGCGATCAATGGACCCTAAGGAGCTTTTACTCATTTAAGCCCCTCACCTCCACTGAATGAACAGACTCACCTTCTTCAAAGGGGTCCCTGACATCTCTCTAACATGGGTGCCACCACTGTCAATGATCTAGCTTGGGTTCTTCTCAAAGGCACAAAATATGTAGACAGTGTGAAGCCAAACTCAGAAGTATGACAACCTTAGTCTGTACAATTGCTCTGACAAAGTGACTGTACTATTTTCCATAATAATGGAGGACCAGAAAGTAGAACCTGGAAAACATCCAGTTAGATGCCCAACAATGACAAGAGAGGAAGAACACATCTGCAACAATCAGGAGCAATTGCCTGCCAAGATATCCGTACTTGACTTCCCAAATCTTAGGCCTGCTCACAGGAAAGGGGTACAAGTATTTCTCTCAAGATGCTGTCCTGAAACAGGGATCTTTTAATGGCCTCTAAGTCTGGGGTGAGTTACCTAACCTTCCTTTAATGGAGATGAACAATCCTCTGAAGCTAACTTTCTCCAGTGATTCTGGACAGACCCTGGCTAACTTTTGCAAACTAGGTGAGATTAGTACTGTTTTAAGTACTTTAAGTGCCTGATAAATCTACATTTATTTTTGCTTCCTAACTGCTGCTGGAGTGCTAGCAGGTGACATAGTTTTTATTCTAAAACTTCCTGTACTTAGCAGACATGACAAATTCCAATTCCAACTTTGACTTAACTCCAGCAGCAACTTGTAGCTCTTCTACACAAATACCGTAAGCATGTCATATTTCATCATTTTTATTGTTGACCATGAAGCAGAAAAGCAAAAGTAGCATAACAAGTTTGACATTTTTATTGATGCTGTTGCTACGTGACAAAGCTATGAGTAGGAACAGAGACATTCCAGCTGATAAGAAAACAGGGAAAAACACTACTTCTAATACATAGGGGTTTTTTGGTTTATATTTTCTAATCATTTCAAAACTAGAAGCTGCAACAGGAGGCATGACAGTGCTTCCATACTTGAATATCTGTGGTGGTTTGGTCACACTTCTTGGAGGTAAGAAGCAGGTTCCTTATGTATCTAATAAGAAAGTGAATGAGGGGTTTTTTTAAACATGGTAAAAGCAGGCAGAAACAAACAAATGTATACACGTGAACTTCTGTCTCTGTACATATGAATTATGGACTGCAGATAAAGATTCTGGATTTAAATCACTTAAACCATCTCCTTTTCAAGAGCATTAAAAAGTTGAACAAACCTGACAGTTGGTGCTGAATGGAGGTAGCATTGTGTTTGAGAAATTCTTCATTGAAACTTTCCAAGTTTTTATTAACAAAGATTTTCTGCATTTCTTGAGTTAGGACCTTGCTCACAATTTCTGGGAGGTTACTATGGTCAGATACTAGAAGGGGGAAGGTAAGAGGAAGAGAAGCAAAAAAATGCCATTTAAACAACTGTAGAAAACAGTGTGAAACCATTAAACATCACTGCTAAAACTCCCATTTTTAAAATTTGGGCACAGAAAGAAACACAAATTTCAGTTCAAAACAGGTCACCACAAGCATTACCAATGCACTTATAGATGAAACATTCATAAAGGGCGCTGTCATGTAAACTTTCTGCTGCAAGTTCACAACATACACTTTGCTTCAGTCAGAATCTTTCTCCCATATCTGCCACTTACTTTCTTAAAACATAAGAATTTCAAGGATCTTTGGAACACCTACTCTGTAAAATCTAGCCAAAATGAGTTATTGGGTCCACCTGGTGGATTAATGGAGGAAGGAGTATAATACAATACATACAGTGCCCTGCGTAGCACAACCTGTTTTCTTGGGTATTACCATGGAAAACAAGCCATTTATTTTTATTTGTCTTCCTATCAGTTTGTTTCAAGAGTATTTATACATTACAAAAATGCGGTTATAACCTTGCACAATATAACTTCCTCTGTCCTTATACATACATACGTACTTCCTACACACATACCAGCTTTAGAGAATTTAATCAAGCACTCATGTAGCCACGGGTTATTACTGTTGATAGCAAAAGCTCTTTTGACAGACTGTAACATTAACAGAAACTTTCCTGTGGGAAGGAGAAAAAACAAAAACATACCAAGATTAAGAATGCAGAATTTTCTCTTTATATCAACTACTGTTTTCTTTAGTAAATCTAGTACAAACATTAGAAACATCAATGCCTACACAGATTTAGAAAGGAGATTTATTTTTCCCATCCAAACTGCCTAATGAAATAAGAAATGTCTGCTGTCCAAACTCTGGCAACACTGCACAGATGATGTTACTATCTGTTTGGCTTTGTCTTCCCCTAGATCATTAGATATTTGCAGTGTGATATTTTTCTACAGCATTTATTAGTATATACTACAACTTAATTTGCTCTTTGGGTTTTTGGGTTTTTTTGTTGTTTTTTTTTTTTAATTTTTACTTTTTAATTGTTTAGGTTGGAAAAGACCTTTAAGATCATCCAGTCCAACCATTAACCTAACATTACCAAGTCCACACTAAATCAATTAAGGGTAGACTAAACCGTGTCCCAAAGTGCCACGTCTACCCGTTTTTTGAACACTTCCAGGTTTAAGGGTGGCTAAGCAAAAAAAAAATTTCCCCTATTATTACTGGCTATGACACAGACTCCAACTTCAGTCAAGTAAATATCTATTCCAGACCATTTTGGGCTACAGTCAGATAACACAGGCTGCAGTGAAGGGGTAAAATTTTGTAGAGCAAGAATAAAATTATGTAGTACTTTACCTTTTCTAAAGTATATTTCAAATGCTAATAAATGTGTTTCTATGTCATCTCCAATAAGATTCTTAAGTGGTATAAGGAACTTAATGGCTTCTTCTAATGGATTTTCTACCTGTTTTAATAAAAACACAATGAAATTTAAAGCTTAAAATAAATGTCAAATAAAACCCACCAAGAACAGTTTCTGTTATTCAGAGCATTTAAATAATCAGAGGCCAAAGTTAAACTGTAGATAGCTTTCCGAATTAAACTGAACCACAACATTTTTATTTGAACAGCAAGATTTAAAAGTGTTTATTCATTACTTCATGTGACAAAGACAACATCATTCCTAGCTCTGCCACTGCTTAATGTACACAGTGTTGTAATTTAGCATTTAGGAAAATTAAATACAACCACCTTAGACAACAAGCTTAAACTTCTGAAGTTACTGTGATAAAGGAGATAGGTCTCTGTGCTTAGAGAAATACTGGCTCACGTCTTCAAATTTGTGAACTGCAATCACATTTCTGTTAGTTTTTCTCTAGCACTGTATGACAACCACAGTTCTTCAGGCAAGAACCAGCTTTTTGTTCAGTATCTGTTTTAATGAAGGATGGCCTACTGCTTGAAAACCCCCAAAATTTCAAGAAAGTAACAGTATTATGAATATAGAATCTAGATTTATTAGAGAAAAAATATTACTTTTCTTTAGTGTAAATATAATACAAAAAGGTACCTTTGTATGCAGAAATGATTTTATAAAAAACCCTGGATTGTTTTAGGAGAACCTGCTAGTAATCCCATATTATAGGCTTTTTATGATAATCACATGAATTTAACATGAAAGACCATGCTAACCCTTTCCAGTTTTTCAGGAACTAGCTCTTCCCTGGGTCCACTAGTTTCCTCCTCTTCTTCATCTCGCTTTTTCTTTTGATTCTTTTGTAGTCGCTCTCTTTCTGCATGTTTTCTTTCCTCTTCAAGCTTTGCTTTCTTCTGTGCTCTTCTTTGCTTGCTAAGCATTTTCTTCAGTTCTTTGGCTGAGAGATTTTCTACAGATTAAGGTAACGAACAGATAACTTATATTAACAGAGTATTTAAAAATCTTGTGTCTCTCCAACAACACTCAGACATGCCACTATGCCCCTCCCCCATATCACAATGGCATACTTTTACAGCAATTTCCATAAATATCAGCACTTGCCAGACTATCATCTCTATGTAGTCCAACATTACCACTGGATTACTATTTACAGCATAACACAACACTTGATCTTGTACATTTTCTCTTAGACAGGTGTTATAGAAACCTCAACTATTTGAAAAGTTAACTACATAAAGTTGTTGCATCTATGACAGGTTTTACCTTAGAAAATGGGCAATGGTTTTCAAGGGTGGTACTAAGCTCCCATATTGACTGTAGCTCAGCTTCTTTCCAATGCTAACTAGAAACACCAACAGATTTACACTCCATCTTAAAACAAGCTTGTTATCTTTCATTAAAGTTTCTGAACAATATACAGCCATGATAATTGCATTGATTTTCTGGAAATGCCATGGCAGAGCTAAATGGACGCCAGCAAAAGCTGATATTGTTTGGGGTGATGAAAGGCAAAATATTCTGGTATGTATTAGCAGGACTATTATAGGAATCTTCAGGCTGCTTGCTGTGTTCAGATTTTTAGACTAGACCAGCATTTAGATAAATCAAGAAGGTTTAACAGTTGCCTGAAAAGCAGAACACACAAAACATGGTTTCCTACAGGTTCACATAGAAGTGAGGAGCCTTCAGCCTTTCCATTCACCCCTCTCTTCTTTGTTCCCTGTCCTTGCTGTCCCACTGACCTGACCAGTTTAGCCAGAACACTGTAGTTTCCACTCTGTTTAATGCAGTGTATCACTGACAACTGGATTTGTGCTAATAACATGGCAAGGAACAGAGGAATGGCTACTGAGGGACTAACACATCTTTTTTGTGGCTATGGCACCATGACCTCTCTGCTGTGGCCAGCCACCATTCCGAGATAGGGAAGCAAGGACAAGCAAGCGTTCTTTTTACCCTGTTCACACAGTGCTGTCTTCCCCTGCAGATGAGCCTACTGAATCCCAACGCACAGCACGCAAACGAACTGACATGACTTCTTAGAATCTTCCCCACCTTAGGTTCTATGACATACTGCTATCAAGATCCTCTGTCACACACTGATCTTATATTATATACAGAAACAAATTAAAACTGGAGGGAAAAAAGATGCAAGTTGAACTGTACTGTGAAACGTGCCTCTTTTTGTGCGTACTTCCTTATACACAGGCAGATATGGAAAAACTTATTGTTCACCTCTGAATGAAAAGGTAAGACTGTACTGGCAATATTAAATAGCATTTTTCGTCTAGTTTAACTCCCCACCCCCCATGTCAACTATTCTTCCCTTTGCAAAGAGCTAGACATTAATTTCACCCCTTTAGTCAACAGCTGCTGCAGCACTGACAGTAGCTGTGATTCTGCAAAAGGAGAAGCAAATATTTATCTTAAAGGAAAAACTTCTAACCCCTTTGTCACTGAACCCTCAGATTTCCAAACCACACACCACTGGTTTCCTAAGGAAGTCTGCTTTCCATTTAACACTAGTTTTAACTTGTTTCCTAAATTTATTAATTTTGCTAATACATACTTATACATGTATTCATAGAATCGTTTAGGTTGGAAAAGACTTTTAAGATCA